TATATATATATATATATATATATATATATATATATATATATATGTATTAGTGCTGGGCAAGTTAACACGTTATTATCGCGTTAACGCATTCATTAATTAACGCCGACAATTATTTTATAGCGCATTAACGCATTTTTTTTATTTTGAAAGTCAGTTGCTCACTGGCAGCGGTGGAGGAAGTCTTCAGACTACGTTGATGCAGTGTGTGGGAGAAGTATAGATAAACTAAAGCAAGACAAGCTAACGGATGCTACAGAGAAGTGGATACAAACTGCAGCCGGTTAGTGTTGTGGAAGATGTCGGTCTGAGGAACGTTCTCAAGGTTGTGTTTGGTGTTGGTGTGAACGCACCTTTAAGATCGCAACGAATGACGGCACGTATGAGCCTCAAGAATGAGCTAAGAAAGTTAGCGGAAAGATGACCATGAGACAACATCCGGTTTCTTCAGACGAACATCCGGTTTTCAGAATAAGATGCCAACAAAGTATGAATTATATTCACATTAAGTATAAAACATGCTACCTGCATCTCGTGAGTTAAAGGGAAAATACACCAAAATTGTGCGTAAAGTGTCTTTATTCTTTGATCGCTGGGTAACCATCATCACCTCTGAGTTACAGCATTATATTGATGAACAGCTGCATTCACATGCTCTGACTGTTATGAAGACACAAGACAGACATTTAGCTGAAACGTGCTGAAACATGTTATTCATGTTGCACAGCAATGGAACGTTTCATATAAAGTCACACACTGAGCACAGATAGTGAAGAGACAAAACTGCTACTGTGTAAAGGGAATACTGCTGTTAAAAAGCACTTTATTTGTTTTAATAAGTGTTTGCAAACCAAATGTTATTGCCCTTTTGTTCATATAGCAGTACTTTTAAAATAATAGTGCGCAATATACTACTTTTGAATTAATTATTGAACTTTGCCATAACAATGCGATTAATCGCAAAAAATCCATCCGATTAATCGCGATTAAAAATTGTAATCGTTGCCCAGCACTAATATATATATATATATATATATATATATATATATATATATATATATAAGATTTCTTTCCCAAATGGAAACGTTCTGCCATTTGGGGGAGGAAATTGGCATACCTGACCACCCCATTCAAATGTATTCCAAATGGCAGATTTTGATAATAAGTTACTGTCCAGTTGGGACAGTCTTGTATTGAAATGGGTTGTTGTTAGGCCCTTACTAAAAGACTTAGAAATGACTTGCTATCCTAAAATTGAGAGATTGTTTTTCTAAACTTTTAGTATGTTGTTGCCAGGTACCTTGCATGGTAGTTCCTGCCATCAGTGTATGAATGGGTGTGAATGGATGAATGATGACATGCAGTGTTAAAGCGCTTTGAGTGTTAAAGCTTTTCAAACTGTCATATTTTCTAAGAAAATGGCTTTAACTGCCTGAAAGGTGCACCAAACATCCCATCTGAGGACCTGAACCTGCCCTTTAACTGCTGACTTTGTAGACCCTCTGGGGAGCTATGTTCTTTTAGGAACATCCTATTGTGCATGCTTTTAGTGAATGTGAGTGCATGTGAGTGTGCCCCACTGGCTAGCTCACAGTGTGACCGGCCACAGTATGTCAGAATGGATAGCTGTGCCTCTGAAGTTGTGATTAAAGAAACCTCAAGGAACTGTATTAGCGCCGTTCCTCTTCACTCTTTGCACCTCAGTCTTCCGGTTCAACTCAGGTTCCTTCCCACAACTGCTTCACTGTTGGATGCATCAACAAAGACTTGTCACATGGTGCAACAACCATTGCCTGGAGCTCAATATCAGCAAGACCAAAGAGCTGGTGGTTACTACCAGATTATGTTGCATAATCCAGCTGGTGGAAGTGGAGAGGGTGGACTCATACAGGCTATTGTTCCTGAGAAGACCCAGTTTCAGTGTGTATAACAGGCTTCTGAAGACTTCTACCAGTCTGTAGTAGCCGGTGCTCTGTTCTTTGCTGTGGGTTGGTGTACTGGAGGCCAGCAGACTCTACAAGCTCTGTGGTCGGGCTGGAATTGGACAGGCTGGAGTCAGTGGCAGAGAGGAAGATGAGGGACAATATCATCCTGGATAACCCCTCTCATCCTCTCTATGACGAGTTGCTCATGGAAGGCTCAAGCTTTCATATCTGAATGTTTTTATACATATGGAGGGTTAAATTCACTAGATGCATTCACATGGAGACTTCTAGTTGGTTTAAGTATTGGTGAGCAAAATGTCAGCAAGCCTCTCTATAACTGATCATAAAGTTGTATCTTTATCTCTGTCCAAGCATTTCTTTCATATAACAGTTGTAATAAATCAAATGGAACAACTCTTTTAAATATAAAAAAGTGAAGTTAAAAATCGCTTTAGCAAAGAAAACTTGTATTGTTAAAACCAGCTATTTAAATATGATACAGTACTTTCTTGATCTTGCATGAAACATTTTCACACATATTTAGGTATTTTCCCAAATATCTAGTGCTTTAACACTACATTCACTCATTCACACCTGATAACTGTTAAACTGATAACACGGGCTACCATGCAAGGTGCCACCTGCCCATCAAGACTATCTAGCATTCATACCCATTCAATTTGTGGTTAAGTGTCTTGCCCACGGAGCTGGGGATTGAACCGCCAATCCTTTGATTGAAGGGCGACCCTGCTCTACCACTAAGCCATATTTGCCCCTCAATCATGTTTAAATGCAATGAAATATAACCAATGAACCAAAGCATATATCCTACTTTTCTTTATAGAATACCTTACAGATGAATGAATTCCCCTGTCATTAGTAAAGGTACTCTAATACGGTAATTGTATAGACTCCCGAAAGAAAAGAAGTCTGCTGGAACAGATAGTAAATCATCTGAATTCTCCAAAAAAATTTACCAGCAGATGGTGCCCTTTCTATAAGAATTATTTAATGAGAGCATGTTAGTCAATGCCTTCCCTTTGAATATGACTCAAGACTACCATAATTATTCAAAGTCATATTGATTAATTTTGGTAATTGCCTATTGATAAATGATTATACACTTCTGGTTGTGATATTTGCTGGCCCATTCAGAATAGTGCGTCTTCTATAATTGATGAAGTTCAATGAGGGTGTTTGCCCAAAAGACATCTCTCTAACAAAAATACGGCAGTTTTAGATTTATTAGATTTTTTACACTGGATTTCAGAAAAAGGTTCTTTTAGAGTTCTCAGAGGTTTTCGACGTAGTTGAGCATAATTTTCTTTGGAGATTTCTTTTTAAGGAATGTCCAATCCCTTACCCATCAACTACATGCCAAGGCCTGGTGATATAATAGGTTAATCATTAGTTATTATTATTATCAGATTCATCTTAAATGTTGGGTCATCAGCCAGATTGGATGGGAAATGTAGCTTTAAGGAAGGGTGCCCAATCTGTTCCTCATTGCTGCCTGACTTCTATGTGACAACGTTAAGTCAAGTGATCTTCAGTGCATCTCCACTGGTAGAACTATTGGTGTTCGTCGTAGATGATGTCCTTGTTTTCTACTGTGTGGTCCCTCTAGCTATCAAAATAATAGATTTGTTCACTCTAACTAATGATCTTTGCTTGAATCTTAAAGTGAATTGTCGCCACTACAGATTGTGTGAAGAATATTTACTGTAAGCTATTTAGATGTTATTATATATAAAAATGAACACCAAAGATGTACTAACGGTCATAAACAGCAGGGTTTTATTCTCTGAGGGGGTTTCCTCATTAACATATGTTGCTCTGTCTATAGTCGTTAATCTTCACATAACAATAGAAAAAGTTTATTTAGTTTTTAAGGAAAAGCTGCAATCATTGTCTTAAACTTATAATGAGTGAGTATTTCTGGAATTCACTGGACTTTCACATACAGGCTTAACATGGATGAGCTGATTACAACCTGCTTTCACTACAAATTTTCATTGTGCAACCATGTGTTGTAAAAATGACAAATAAATGAACCTGGTAACTTTTTCTTCAACATGTTATTAATGATGTTCATCCTGTCTGTCTTATTTATCTGTCCTAAATCAGTACATGTCAGTATTTTCTTTGTGTAGAGCCTTTCCCTGAAACCATTGTGGTTTACAGTTGCTCTGTATATACAAAAGGACAGATTTCATTCCAACAAAATAAGAAAACTCTGGATTTACAAAAGCCTCCATGCAGGCTTAAAATGAGTTTAAATTCTGCATAAATGCGAGTGGGAATGTAAAGAATGCAGCCCCACTCTCCAAACCGTTGTTGTTCCCAGGACCTCAAATACCAATGTGTCCATATTTCAACACCGTTGAGCTGCTGACATGTTCCTTCAGAATCAGAATCAGAATCAGAGCCGTTTATTGCCAAGTAAGTTACACATACAAGGAATTTGACTTGGTGACTGGTGCATAACAATAAACAATGAACACAGTGCAATAATCAAGACATAATTTAAAAATAGAAGAAATATTAAAATTTACAATAAAATATGGTAAACAAACAAACATATAACAGTACGTTCAAACAAGTATATTATAAAAGTGGCAAGAGTATTTTAATATAGAAAGGATGTGCAAGGGTGTGTAACAGTAGGAAATTGTCATGGGGATGTAAGTCAGATTCAGTCAGTGGGGGTCCCAGGCTTTGTTGATGAACCCAACTGCAGAAGGAAAGAAACTGTTCTTGTGGCGTGAGGTCTTGGTCCTGATGGACCGCAGCCTCCTGCCAGAGGGAAGGGACTCGAACAGTTTATGTCCAGGTTGAGAGGGGTCAGCTACAATCCTTCTTGCTCGCTTCAGGGTCCTGGAAGTGAACAAGTCTTGGAGGGACAGCAGATAGCAGTCAATCACTCTTTTAGCAAAGCGAATGATAAGCTGCCCTTGTCCTTGGAAGTGGCTGCAGCGTACCAGACAGTGATGGAGGAGTGGAAGATGGACTCAATGATGGCAGTGTAGAAGTGCACTATCATTGACTTCTTCAGCTGCCTCAGGAAGTACATCCTCTGCTCAGCCCTCTTGGTGATGGAGCTGATGTTAAGCTCCCACTTTGAGGTCCTGGGTTATGGTGGAGCCCAGGAAGCGGAAGGACTCCACAGCGTCGACGGGGGAGTCACACAGGGCAATAAGGGCATGTGGGGCTGCGTTCTTGCAGAAATCCACAACCATCTCCACTGTCTTTAGAGCGTTAAGCTCTAAGTTGTTTTGTCTGCACCACGTCACCAGATGGTCAGTCTCCCACCTGTAGGCGGACTCAACCCCACCATAGATGAGTCCAATGAGGGTGGTGTCATCCGCAAACTTTAGGAGCTTGACAAACTGGTGACTGGAGGTGCTGTCACGGTGTAGGCTTTGCCCCCTGTGTTCCTGTGTCTCTGTGTGTGTGTGTGTGTGTGTGTGTGTGTGTGTGTGTTTCCCCTGATTACACTCATCCTACTCACCTGCCCAGTCCACCCAGCTGCCTTCAATCTTCTCATCACCCCACACATATACTGTATACTCCCCTGCTTTCCGTGTTCTGGTGGTCAGATCGTCTTTGATCATTCCCCTGTCTGTTCCAGTGTTGTGTCTGCTCGGTGCTTCAGCGTTTGGTACTCGTGTTTGCTCCTGGTTTGTACCTTTGCTTTTTGTGACTTTGCCTTTTGTATTCTGTTTGGATTTTTGCCCACTTCCTGTTGGAGTTGCTTTAAGTTTTTGTTTATGACTTTATAAGTAAAAGACCTCGTCTTTTACTTAAAAACTTCACCTCGTCTCCAGTGTCTGCGCTTGAGTCTTAGCTAAACCTGAGAGAACGTGACAGGTGCAGCTGTTGGTATACAAAGAGAAGAGCAGAGGGGAAAGAATGCAGCCTTGGGGGGAACCGGTGCTGATGGTCCACATAAGTGTGGTCGTGACAAGTGTAAAGAGTAGCTGGTGTTAATTCATGTCTCTTCACTATCGGTGTACACAGCAGACTGGAAATCAAAGAAATGTTTATTTAGACTAACATGTTGAAGAAAAGAACTTTGGATATGCTTTTGTTCAAAATCAAAACTACTGAATTGTCTTTTCTCTCTTCAAGTACAGTACATTGTTATGGGTCTCCTCACTGCTACATTCCCTCTCTGGGTCATGTAGTCATCCAGGCAGCATTAACATGTTTTCCCAACTTCACGTGCTGCTTCCTGTTAGACAGGAAGTCTGTTAGCTAGCTCCGGGATCAAAAGTGCCGATGTTAGCTGGCTTTTTGCGCAACATAACGAAGCATCTCACTGCGCTAAACCTGCAGCTTCAGGGACGGGGACGTATGATCAAAGACATGTGTGATACAGTAAGAGTCTCCACCGCTGTGTTCCCGACTGCGCATTTTGCTGATAATTGGGCACACTTGGCACAGAGATCACTCGGCGATTTGCCGACTTTGCAGCTCAAAAATTTTAATTTGAACTGCTCAGCAATCCGTTTGCAGTTGATGTGGAAAGAGCACCTGTGGAGCTGATAGACCTCCAGTGTAATGACACACTCAAGACAAAGTATGACTCTGTTGGCGCTGCACAGTTTCCAAGCTTCATCCCCGAAACGATGCCTTAACTCCGCCTACATGCTGCTCAAACGCTCTGCATGTTTGGAAGCACATACCTGTGTGAGCAGCTGTTCTCTGTGATGAAGAGGAACAAAGACCCACACAGGAGTCATCTCACTGATGCACACCTTCACTCCATCTTGAGGGTTTCCACAGCACAGAACCTAACCCCAGACATTAATGAACTGGCAGCCAAGAAAAGATGCCAAACATCTGGCTCTGGTACATATGCATAAAATAATGTAGCATACCTAAACATGTATTCCTTTTGCACTTTGTCCAATATCCCTTCTATCCTGTTTATTACATGGTGACTCTATTTGGCCCTCAACGTAGTCCCAATTTCTTATTTTGGCCCTCTCTGTGATTGAGTTTGACACCAATATGCTGCATTATGCTAAAAGGTGTCATTTTGTTATGTTGTTGGTGTGCCGCGGGATCTTTTTAATGTAAAAAATGTGCCGTGGCTCAGAAAAGGTTGAAAAACACTGCCCTAGAGCACCAAATGTGTACTAATCTGCCACTAAAAATAGTCCTGGCTAAAACTTACAGTGCTTGTCAAAGGAAATTACTGAGCCTTTTTTAAAAGTGAAACTATATGTTTGTGAGCTGTTTTTAAAGATGTCTTCAGTAAGAACCAGTGGGCATGGAGCTGAGATGGCTGCATCAGAAAATCGATGGATGGAATGAAGAAAAATTTAAAAATAATGCCAGCATATCTTTTAACAGGAAATAAAACAGGTGATGTGTCGATCAAGGTATTTTACAGTAATATAACCAAAACCTATACTATACACACAGTGCATGCAACAGCTTGTTCCTAAACTAAATCATCATACATCAGAGGGCAATTCAAAAAATAATGAACAAATTTAGCATTATCTTTGTCAGCCTAACCCTACTACAACATGTCCCGCTGGACAACAATGCAGGAAATATTGTGTCTGAGGACACCCTTTTGTTCGTTACTTTGATTTCACAACTCTTGTTTATGAAGAGCGGCACAGGCAGGCTGATTGCTGTGAGGAAAATTAGAGACAGTGAACTTTAAACCCTCCTCGTCAGCTGACTACAGATACAACTACTATAAGCCCTGCTCAACAGGACCTGAAACATTACACACATCACTGTTCTATAAAAATAAATAACTGACACCATATGCAAAATGTATTTAATGTACTTTGTAATTTATTCTGTTCCTTAACCTGAATAATTTAACATTTTTCTGAGACAGTCCAAGAGCGAGAACATGGACAGATTTTGTAGAGTGATCTGAGAAACCCTGAAAGCACAGAAAAGTGAACAGACTGTAGTTTGTCAGTAGGTGGCTTTTCAGGTTTCACAACAGGGAGAGTTTTAGAGCCGCGAGGCATGCAGGCTGGTAAGACCAGGTTGAGTTCAGGAATGTCAGCATGTAAGCGAGTGGTGTAGAAAGAGGGACGGAGGTAGGCAGCCTATCAGAGGAGGGGCAAAGAGCAGGAAAGAGAGAGAGAGTCATAAATGCAATAATTACAGCTTAGGCAGAAATAAGTGACGCACTCTGCTGGTTCCAAAGGCTGCCTGTGTAGCTAACAACACTGCTGTCCCACTGACAGGAGGGAGAGACGGCCCAGGAACCAATTCTCTGTTCTTGGACTTGGTCTTCGGATTTATTTTTCACCAGAACTTTTGATTTCTAGTCATGGATTTGCTTCTGGATTCTGGCTAATTATGATATATTTTCAAACATAATCTTCCAAACACACTTTTTTTTTAAAAGCAAAGGGAATCATTTACCATGTCTGTGACTGCCCTATTCAGGGGCAAGTGGGGGCACAAGTCACCGGAACCCCCAGAGAAGCATCCAACAGCTGTGGTTAAACCCAGCCAGGGGGAGGACGATGATGAAGATGTGACCAGAGAGCCTATCCGCAGGAACTCCCGCTTCTATCGGTCCATGAGGAAGAAGAGGCCGAGCTCATCTGACCAGCCTGAAAGTAAGAACATATCAGGCCTCCACTGTGCCTGCATTTTAACATTGTTTTTGTACTAAACTTCAAAGTTAATCATCATTTAAGTTGACTTTTCTGGTCCTTAAGCAACATGTATTTAGCCTAATTCAAACCTGTTGGCACTTATTCAACTGAATGCATATTTAACATTAACATGCTTCATTGGAGAGCATCACACTGCAGCAGAATTGTTTTGCAAGTGGAATCACTGTGTATTGTTGCTCTGCATTCTTGCCCCATTGGCAGTTGGCATTGATGCAGTTGTTTTTTAAGAAGTGGAACAAAGGCTTGGTACTTCCATCCTATTTACGAGTCCAACCTGAGAAACTAGTTTTGTTTAAGCAGCACTATGATCTGAGTTATTTTTCCACAGGTCAACCTCTGACCTTGTGATTTCAAGCAAAAAACAACTTGAAGTATGTTGAAATGAAATAACCAACATATCCCTGATATGACAAAGTTCTGGTGTTGATATGAGAGTCTGAAATGATTTGCAAAGTTCTTCTGGTGGAAATTCTGTTTGTCATCGTGCTTTGTTCTCAACAGTCTGTCAGAGGCACAATCCCAGAAACTGAATGACAGTGATAAAGAATGTATTGTTGTTGTGTTTTATGCGCTGCATTAGTCATTGTTCTCTATAGGAATGTAACACATTCTTACAGTAGAGCCACACCAAACGTAACAATAAAGCATTTGAGCTTAGACTTTGCCCGGCATCTCGGACAGGCCTCAAAGAGGAGGGATTAAAGTGATTACTTCATACATAACTAGACAGCTTCAACCTTATAAATACATTAAATTATAAAACACTGAGGCCTGTTGAAAAATGCCACACAATCCAGTCACCTGATCATCCTGTGACCTGAAATAATAAGGAAAATGTGCATTTTCAGAAGCAGTTTATGAAATTATGATTATGATTACATTTTTTTCCTATCAACAGTTGTCAGCTATCCCATAGTGATCAATTTCACAGGAACTGATAACTTTGATCTTTGTATTTCATCAGGGATATGATCAGATAGTATTTGTTGTGATAGCATGTCTGATAAATGCACACCAGATCACAGCACAATGTGGCCACCACAAAGGAATATCTAACTGTACTTTCTCACTGTATTCATACGCAGTGAAGAATAAATACAGCAGTTTCTGTAATTATAAAACCTACAATTTCAAAGAGAGTGCAGGTGGTATAATGTTGGTACAGTTCTAAGTAGAGATAGAAAAGCTATAATGAAGCTTCTAACATAATACACTTACATCCAGGAAACAGGTCTGTAGCTGACAGAAGCAGCTTTAGCTCAACTTAGCCCAAACACGGGCAGGCCAAATATTTCTTATCTATTTGATCTTATTATGTATGTGTTATGTATTTTGTGTATCTACCATGCAGGAAACAAGACATTAGGCCAACATTTGTTTTTGGAGCCACATACGAGAGACTTTGTGCCATTCAGAGGTTTCCTGCATTTACAATTTTCTCACAAGTCGTTTTATTTTTTGAGTGGAGGAGTCACATAGAGATGGTCTGCTTTTCTTTGCAATGGAAGAAACACTGTCCTTGAAGAAAGATAATGCCTCAATATACTTTACAGAAGTCCGTTTTAACCCTCTGAACCCCAAGCAGTGTTGGGGCGGGTTTTTCATGAATAGTAGTAGAGAGAACTAAAACAAGTCTTTTGTGCAGAATAACCCAGCTACAATGACGTAAATCATAAAAAAAAAAAAAAAAAACACAAGTTAAATATCTTTGATAACTTATTATACAAAAAATGGCAAACAATCTATTATCAATGGAATCTATACAACATTGTTCCAAGTGCCCACAAGCGTTACCAATGTTGTAAAAAACAATGGAGGCTCTTTGTGCTATAAATATGAACTCTTTACATTTTTACAACCTGTACTTACAGTCTCTGCTGTCTTCACCTCTCTGCTCTGTGTTCTGAGATTTTAAATGTAGCATAAAATGTTTTTGATGAAATAGCACTATTTTAAGCTTAGTTTTGGTCGCTTTTTCTGACAGAACTGTTCATTTCACATAATGAAAATCTGATAAATGGTGTAGTTCTGGCAAATGTTTAAAGAAAACATGATTTTCTGCTGGCAGGTTTTGGGGTTCAGAAAGACAGATCAAAAAATACAAATCAGCTAAATTAATGTTCTGTTTATGATATCATCATTATTATGGGGTCCCAATTTTCTGAAAGATTCAACAACATTTTTTTAAACCTTGTCTTCACAGTTCATTAAGTGATGTCCCTCTGGTGTCACATTTACTCTATAAATCAAATCAAACTGTAAAGCATGTCTGTAGTTTGTGTTTAACGAAAACGTTTGACTACTTACACATCTTCTTTCCGAGCAGCAATGGTACATTTTTGAATTAAGATCTTCCACCGATTTTGTACAAGTTAACTTCTTCATGACCGATTAGACTGATCAGATACAAGCGAGAACTCTGATTTATCAACTACCAAATCATCCAAAGAACTGAAAACTGTGATAAAACACCCCATGTTCAAAAGGAATGTAATGTCTGATGAGAACCAATAGCTTTCCCTTTTTTTATATAGGCCCCGAAATACTGTCATATACCAGAAGGCCTTTCAAATGAGTTACACAATCATTAATGAAAGAGGGCAAAGTTCCATTTGTATACAAGTGAGACTGAATACAGACACATTGTCGACACCCTTTATTTCTTAAGTTTACTGCTTGCGTGTTTGCCCTCCACAGTCTATTCAGAAGGACAGAATAGGATTTTGGAAAAGCAATTGGCGACATCTGGAAAAAATATTAGAATTTGTATAAAACATAAAATATTTGGATAATGTTTACATGACCTAAAGATTCAAAGGACTTTTCAAGTTTTCATCTACTTCCTACTCTTTCAACCAAAGACTAATAATTCATAAGTCTGAACATGTCTGCCTGTGCAGACAGGCAGTATAGTTTACATTATCTTTATCACTAAAAGTCACCATAAAATATTGTGTAATGTGACAAATTTCTGAGTAAAACAGATTATGTAAGTGGGGTAATTATGAGAGAAATCAAATCTTACTGTATTTTTTTCCACTCCGTCTTTCAAGATGGTTTCAAACAATTCTAAATCAAAGTGGAGTTAGAGCAGAGTTAGAGGTGCCAAGGAGTGCAGAGAGACTGTCACTTTCCAAATCAGTTTCAAGGTAATTACCACACAAATAGCCTGTAAAAATGTGTAATCATTGCCAAATCATATTGCTTCCATTTTGTCCCGAGGCAAATGTCTCATGGCCCTGGAGTTGTGAACCCCTCCAGGATATAATACTATGCTTTCTTGTAGATTTATGACAGGCAGTTAGTCATGCAGAATGATAAACAGGTATTCTTGACCATGGGAATAGGTGACAAAATCATCTAGACTCAAGGTTGTTCTAGAGGGTTGAAACACAGTGCGCGGTGTCTTCATTAGATGAAAACTGAGCAAACTCCCTTCAATGACTGAGAGATATCATTGAAAGCGCCGGAACAAGCCAGTATGAATAGACATTATGGACAATGATGGAGAATATCCTATTGTATATTTTAAATATACATCTGTTGATCAATTTCTTCATTGTAGTTTAAGCGCACTATGTGTTTGTGAATGTGTGTAAGAGATGAGTGTGTGTAAGGACACATAATTTCATACAATACGGTGCACCAGCTGAAGGATGAGGAGCGGGGATTGGCCTCATCATTTCAGCAAATACGTTTACAGTAAAAAGATGTTTGTCTCTTAACTTTGTCCAACTTTATTATTTTTGTATTTCTCATATTTAATTATAAAATGCTTTTGTAGCTATGCACTGCTGAGTGTTAGTCTTAAATGTCATCATGAATAATATTATAGGGGATGCTTGATTTGGGCAGCAGCTTATCTTCGGGGCTTATTTGCAGTCTTTGTAGCCTGTCCAGAGGTTTTCCAAATTAATCTGAAGATACTGTATTTATCTGTCACATGTGGGAATGTACAAGTCAAAGTGAAACACTCCCAGTGGATATTCAATGCATATTCATAGACACCCACACACAGTGGGAACGATACAGTAGCATGCGGTGCTAACTGGAGATTCTGTTATTGTCAGGACAGGATGACGGGAGATTTGTAGGCTTGACATTAGGCTATAGGCCAAAGATCATTCTTAAAGTCTCACATCATTTTATTTTACTGTCAAGTATAAATATAGTGTTTATTGTATCCATATTTAATGAGGCAATGTAATTAAAATCAATTTTTTAAGAGTAACCTGAGAACATGAAACATTCCCAAGAACACGATCGGCAAAACAGAAACAACACAACTACACAAAAAATGTAAAACAGTTAAAAGAATCGTAAAAAGCATTTTAGATAATAATAACAAATTTCCCCATGGGGATGAATAAAGTATACATCTATCTATCTATCTATCTAAAGCTTTAACATCTCCATGGGGAATGCAAGACTCTAGTTTGAGGGTAGTTTGCAGTTCATTCCATTTAAAAGGTGCATAGTACCATAAACCAGTTTGGCCAACATTAGTGCGTACATGAAGGATATCCAAGTAGTTACTGGATGATGAACTGCAGATACTAGACTTAAATGAGAGAATAAATGTCCAGCAGTAGAGCTCTTTCAATGATGAACATGAGATGGCTGTAAGGAGGCCCATCCACTCAGTGAGAATGACATTTGGTAATGCCCTGTGATACACAGGGTTTAACAGCCAAAGTGTTGATGGGCGGCGTGACAATTCAGAACATATCCATAGTTAGGACAGACATGAAGGTTGACTGCACAAAAAGATAGACATCCTTTAATTGATACATGATACATTGATTGTTTGATTTTTGTGTCAAATGTTGAAAATAAATACTGAATGCTGTCTGCTGTCAAGCCAAATTCCTAAGTATTTATATGACTCGGCAAGAGCCTTGTGAGTGCCATTTAAACTTTTAATGGCCGGAAAGTCAGTGTCCTTAATCTATTAAACAGTAAAGCTCTCTTTAATGAGTCTTAATAATGTGGCATGGATTATTGTTCCCTGTGTGAGTCTATGTAGCAGGTGTGCTAAGTTAAAAAACAACAACCACAAAAACAAAAAACATTTTACATTTAAAGATATGAATAAACAAAGTTTTAGTCTGATTGCTGGTAAGTGGTAAGACACTGGTCTCTGCTTGACATTGCTTTTAAAAAAACCATCATGGCTCATTATGAATTATTCCTTTCTTAACCAAGGTGTTGCTTCTTACTGTACTACACTCAGCACTCGAAGAAGGCTATGTGTGTGTGTGTGTGTGTGTGTGTGTGTGTGTGTGTGTGTGTGTGTGAGAGACAGAGAGTGATTGAAATGTTGGGATGATAACGTTCCACACTATTGTGCCTGATTATACTGCAATATCTCCTTCTGATTACTTCTCTCTCTCTCCGTCTGTCTCTCAGGTTCTACCAGTCCTGGAGTCTCCACCTCTTATGCTCCCTTACCCAACAAATCACCTTTGTTGCCTGTGGCTAGACGGTGAGTCCTCATGCCTACTACTGCCCAACCCTGGCACGGAACACGCCCAGAAAACAAACAAGCACATACAGTGCTTGTTTAAACACTGCACACACACACACCACGGTTACACTTCATACTTGACACACACTCTCAAGGTGTATCATGTTTGTGATAAACACACAAGCCTCTCCAGTCTCTCTGAAGGTTAATTCATTAATACTGAAACAGCTGTCCAAGTTATAGCCAAAAGAGGAAGCAGTAGATGTCCAAGCCCCAGTACTGTGATAAAACTGTTAACTTGAACGAGAAAACTGCAAAAAGCATTCATCTTCAAAGTCATTTGGTCAGTTGTGTGCTATAAAAATCAGAAAAATAAAGCCAAACCAGAGATATAAGCTTGTTGCCCGTTGGCTTGTTAAAGAAAGCTGAGGCTTCAGAATGAGTGGCAAACAACCAGCTTCCAACAACCCTCAATAAAATCGATGTTAGTCTTTCATCCATCTGCCAACAAGAGAAAGAGTCCAAGGAGGCGGCCTGCACAGTGCTGTATCTGAACACATGTGAACACCCTAACTGACTTATAGCTTGGGGATTTCAGTATGGATGACAAACCTGTAGAGAAAACAATTTGGACACTTGATACATAGAGAAGGTTGTAATCCACTTAAAATGGACATGGTACAAGATGGTCTTTGCCACAAAATTTGACATCAGAGAAACATTGTCCATCCGCTTTGACTGTGTTTGAGCACCAAGCATCATTGATGTAAACAGAGTCCACCTCCTCTCATCCAACCAGAGACCTGCTCTCTGTCCTGTGGTCTGCCTGTCAAGTGCAGCTTGATCTGGGATGAATGATGGAGCCAGGTCTCTGTGAATTAGGACATTGAATGTCTAAAGAAGTCTGTTGCTGAAGAAAAGCTTAGAATGCACTCACTTAGGCAACTTGATATACACTGTCAAAATCACATGACAAATGTACAGAGACAGATGTACATGGCCTTACTACATGGCAGTTTAAATAATTTTAGTTTCTAGGTGAAGATGACTGTATAGATGTGATTCTAAAGTGTTTTGCTATCAAATGTAGCCCTCAGCTTTCACCACAGCTCCATCATTCCAGAACTGTGTTGCCAAGCAATGGTGCGGCCAGTAACAGACATGCTCTGTACAACAGAGATGCTGTGGATAGAAGAAGAGGAGGAGTGGGAGGAGGGAGGAGTGTGGACATATCTGCTGCCTCCGACAGCCAGCATCGAGATTGTACAGCCGACATGATCCCTTACCGGACTCACAGCATTCATAGCGGAGACATAAAAAATTTGTCCGAGCAAACAACTGCAGCTTGCACTGTACAGGAAGTCGGAGGGAAAACCATGAGCACTCAACGGCCCAGTTTTCAGGGAGCAGATCGGAACGTCAACCTCAGGTCAGATCTGATTACAGTGGAAACAGAGAGGTGTAAAGAATAGAAATGCAAGAGGATTATTTGTTGAAGCTTAACCTGTGGGTTTCTGCCAATAGTAAATATAAAACATAAAACAGGCAAATATAAATAATTATTGTTTGTAGTGCTTTTGCTTGTGAGCAGCACAATTACAAATGTACTGTGAGTTATGAGAACATAGGTGATGGAGAGATTGGAATAATTGAGTTGTGACTCATTTTGTGCCTAGAGAGTGAATATGGAAAGGCGCAGATGGATGTTTCATATTTTCAACAAATAATGTGCAGAGTAATCCCGCTGCTCAGGTTTATTTTGTTGGGTTTGATGGAGAAAATAATTGTATGTCTGTGTGCTGGAATGAACCAAACAGCTGCATCATTTGTTGATACAAATTGAATCATAAAGTGAATATATTCAGCCATCTGTCTGCCTGTCCAAACTCATATTTCCTATTTTCTTTCATTTCAGGTTGCCGAGCAATGGAGATAGCTCCCAGACAATCTGCCACAGTCTCAACATCGTCAAAAATATTGGTGAGGAAAGACATGACGTGAGGGATGACGTATGTATTCCACCCACTGTTACCAGTGCCACAGCTATAAAAAAACAATCTTATTTGTGTCTACCTGACACAAAGTCTTTGTTTTAAAAGCAGCTTTTAAGCAGCTTTTTAGTCATATATTATATGACTAAGACTTAACATTGGCAAGACACACACATTCACATATGCAACACACATGCAAACACTTATTTCTGATAAATAATGTACTAACCCAACAACAGGCATGATACGGCTTCAGCATTGCCACTAAGCTGTATATCTGTTACTGCATATCTGACTCCTTCATCAAGCTTGAGTGTCTCTATAAGCCGATTGTCGGCTGTGTTGACTGACTACTCACCCAAGTGTTGTTTAGTGTGTACACAGGATAATGGTTATTTGCAGGGTTTAGTCCAAATTACTCAAGACCAGTTTACCTGCAGGACTATGGTGAACAATTCACAAAGGGCAGAAACAGTTTTATATCTTCGGTAAACAAATAAATGTGCCGTTTCCTTTTCTCCAACCTGTATTTCTTGGCTATATACACACATTCCACTCTCTCTTATGTAAGTGTCAGTCCAGTTCTACGCCCACCAAAGCAATCTGCAGTATATGACTGAGAGAGATTATGCAACAGGCTCCTGTTGTTCAAAGTCACCTTCCCTCTTGATATACACATAGCCAATGTTCCCTGAAAAGAGCAGCTGTTCTTGTCGGCAAACTCTTTTAGTTTTAGTCCCAGTCCACACATACACAGGTGTTTTTGTACATTGCAACATTATCGACCTTTCCGTTTTTTGACTCTTAGTTTCCGGTTGCTATTGCTACCTGATTGGTTCAAACAGCTGCTACCTTTTTCAAATCTGGGCACACACTTCTGCTTTTATGAGGAGGTTGTATGACCTGACACCACCACATCCACTACAGATATCACATTAAGGAGACCATCTTCGGCGCAATGTTCCCTACTGAGTTAACTCACGGTGTATTGCTGCAGTACATTAGCTTGATGTTTGTGGGTGCGTTTAACTGATGTGTCCACCACGGAGAAGGATCCTAATGGACCATGGATTGCCATTGTTTTTTGTGCTGAGCGACACAAATGGAAAACGGACAATCGTGTCAATGTAAAAAAATACCTAGATTTCAATTTCATGACTATTTCACGAAGATGTGAGAGGGTTGATTTATCAGTACGATGAAGCAGGTCAATGTTAATAACTTATAGCATTAACACATTTGCCACAGACGATCAATGAACCAGCTTTGTTGTTCTGGAAGCTGATTTATAAATATTAATTAAAAAGTTGCTTCCCAACCAAATATGCAATGTGTAATATTGATTTTTAAACTAAAATTTTAAATAATCTCTTGGCTGAGCTGAGAATAATAATCACATGTCAATTTAAACTAGACTGTGTGTAATATTGTAACTATAAATGAGTCGACTTCTGTTATATTATATTGTTATAAATACAAAATCAAAGACAAGGAACAATACATTCTGATCAGTCACCATGACTGTTATCACAGTAAAATGACTAGCTGATCGCAGAGCAGTGTAGGGGAACATAACTAGCTAATGCTGCTATGTAAATAGCAGAGGATATTTGTCACTACTGCTGTAGTGGAGAGTCTCTCATGGTCTTCTATCGGTCTGTCCTTCACACTCTACAGAATATTATAAAACTGCTCAGATATTTGACAAAATGTAGGGGCGAGGTGATTACAAGCAGCAGATGTCAATTTACAGAATGGCACACATTCTAACTTCGGATATAAGCAGGAAGTTGAAAGACAAAATTATGGAGTAGGAGCACATCCAGAAGGTCAATACTTTAGATGGGCTAGTGGAACAGAAGCAAGTGTGGCAGGACCTACCTCTTTAAAACCATTCCTAATAATGTCTGAAAACGTCACTTAGGCATAGAGGAAAAGTGGCAAAGCCCCACTTGCTGGCAGCAGAAAAAAGATTCATTGTTTTAATGGTACGCTGTTTGTCATGGTCAGGAGAGAAGGCAGCAGACACAGTGCAATGATTTCATTTGAAAAACATAGCTTACAAGCTTGAGTCCAACAGAACAGGCAGGAAACAGCAGGCCAGGACACGGGCAAACTGGTACAGAACTCCAAACACAAATGAAGACAAACCAACAACCAACAGACAAAAGACAGAACTATAAATACATAGAAACTAATCAGAGAATAAGACGCAGGTGGGCAAACATGAGGGCAGTCTGAAAGCTGATTGGTAAAGTAACACAAGGGAACAGAGAAAGGCTGATGAGAATAAGGTCCAGTCCCAATGTCAACTCTAAGGCCTTAAACCCTGAACCTTCAGGGACCATAATGGTTGATGCGAGAGGCTGCAAAAGCTTGAAATATTCTAAATACGAATGGGACAGCACTTTGCTGCGACAGATCACACTACCGTGACAACGTCATAACATGTTGTGTACAATTGTGGATATTTATGTTATATTTTTGACTCCCTGATTTGAACGTCTTGTTCTTTAGGAGATGAAAAGGTAATTGTCAAATAACCTATGTACTTGTTTTTGTCAAAACAGCTTCAACAGGCAAAATTAAGCCCTGTGCTTAACGTCACAAAGCTATGAATTGTGGATAATTCCCTCAGGCAAAGTCTGCAGAAATGCGGAGTCACAGAAAGTGTTCACAAAGGGCATAAGATGTTTGCGAGACAGCTCTCAAACCCCAGTGGGACAGAACTAAACCCTCGCGGACTGTGTCAAACGTGTGTCAAAGTCTGAGTCTGTGAGTGTGGAGTATGTAAATGGACCTTTAACAACACAGATAATTCACAGAAACAAGGAGGTAAAACCACAAAGAGAGGAAGTAATTTAACACAGGACACAAGAGGCAGGGAACGTCAAAATAAAACAGGAAACAGGCTAAACAAAAACCCAGGACACTGATATTGGTTGCTATGTGGGGATAACCCCACCCTGACAATATCTAGTGCCCCGAGTGTGGGAAAACTAAAATACACATGTTGAAAGCCTTTGACAATGAAAATGGAAGTCACAAATTTGCCATGATTGACTCTTGCCCCACTGCAATCTTATTGGCTATTTGTCGAGTTGTTATCATCTACTCAGTTGGCAGAAGTTAGTTAAAGAAAATAGTAACTGCAGTCACCATGAACAATGTCGATTATCTTCTATAAGACAAATCCGAAAAATTTCATTGGTGCAGGCCAGCCATGAGCTATTTCTATAAACCAAATCGCTGGTAAGAAGTAATGGCAGACTTAGCGTGGAATGGTTCACCGGGAATAAATTGCGAACTAAAACTTTTTGCTTCGTGTGTGTTATTTGGAGCTGACCATACCTGGTCAAAAACAGGCTTTTAGGATCTAACGCATCTTTCTGAGGCTACATCCACACTAATAAAACTAATAAATAACTAATAAATCTCCGTCCACTCAGGCGTTTCAGCATCGTTTTTGAAATGATCTCCGTCCAGACTAAAACGCCTGAAAACGAATATCACGTGACTTCATGTACACTGGGCATGCGGGTGCCGGTGTAAACAGGAAGTAGATTGGTTGCTTAGTTAAAAAAAAATACGACAGAGTAATAAAGTAGTCTTTAATAATGAACGGTCGTGTTTGATAATTAAGATCTTCTCTAAAATCTTCCTCTATAACTCAAACAGACACATTTCTTGGAAAGTTTTAGAGGTTTTATTTTTCAGACTTAGTTACAGCGCAGCGGGTTTTGCTCTCTCTCTCTCACACACATCAAATTTACTTTAAAATGAACACTTACACATAATGGTTTACTAGATTATTGGTCCATAAATGTCGTCAACACACGTCTCTCATTCATTTCCTCGGTTTCGTTGTCTGTTCTCACTCGTAGCTCTGCTGGTGGCTGAAGTCGCTGTCCTACTGGAGAGCAATTCATGTTTTGTTCCATTACAGTTTCTGTGTGGACTTCACAATAGTTGTGCAGAACAAAATAAGCATTAATAAGAAAAGGAGAGTCCTCCGTTTTGTGTCCGTTCTCCTCAAAGCTGCTAACTGAGACTTCAGACGGCCGCTCTGTCGGTCTGATAATACCACTGGACATGCCGCTCACTAATCACTCCAATAACAGCTGCTTCCCACAAAAATGCAGACTTTAACTGGACAGCAGCTGCTAGTAAAGACAACAAGGTCAGCAACACCTGTAATCAGTTGTCCATGTTGAATTAACCTGGTAGTTGATCGATAATCAAGACTGTTGTTGTTTGTGATCTTCCGGGAAAGGGTCATGTGATAGGGGCGTGACGAATCAGAGAAGGACACGTCGTGACTGCTAAGAACCAATCAAGTAGCGAACGTGGGCGTAGTGTGGATGCTTAGTGTAAACGTAGCAAAACATATACGTTTTCAAATGGAAATGTAGTAGTGTTGACATGGCCTGAGAGGATTACCAAACATGGAAGCAGCAGGACAATGTGGTAAACTTGGGCAAACATAGCTACCCAAAACTGGTCACAAACTACTACAAACAGGGAGCAGTAGAACAGAAAATGTAGGTCTATGCAGTTGAATTATCACTTTTGTTAAATTGTGTGGGAAATGTGAAATAGCGCATTATAGCAAAAAGTTAACTTGTGTAATTTTCTTATTTTGCGTCTGTCCAGAGCAGCTGTTTTTACCCATCTAAAACACCACTGCTTAGTCACAGTGGTAATCCAGACCTTTGCAAAAAAAAAAAAAAATTCTACATGTGTACTTCATGCCTGATTCATTGTCTTTTGACTCTCCAGCCTTCCTGTACCAGGAATACCGGGACACCTCCAAGCAGCAGGAGATTGAACAACGGCGGCAGCGTGAGAACCTTTCTCCTGGAGTCCCACCAGGGACTGTGGTAGAAGGGTCTGGTGTCATGTCCCCTCCAGTGCTACAGCTGCAGCTGAGGAACAATGCTCGGTCACTGAGCTTGTGGCAGAACCTGGAAGTTGTGCAGGCCAGCGGCCTGCTCACCCAGTTACCACAGAGTGAAGTCATAATGCAGGAGGTGAGCAATTTTGTGCAGGTGTAGGCTTATATAGATATGTACAGGTTTTAGCTATAGAATATTGCATTCAAGAGTAAATATGCAGTACAGCTGAGGCTGTAATGGGAATGGCATTCATTCGGCAAGTATTTGGTCATAAACCAAAATATTTGACAAATTCAAATTTCGACCTGATGTTTGTTATGAGATCTCCACAGTGATTGCAATCCATCCTGATCACGAATGTCTGAACCAAATTGCATGGCACTCCATTTAACAGTAGTAAAGACATTCACTTTAAACCACAAATGTTGAATGTTAAAAAATGTGTTTCACTAAAACCTCAACCTTAGAGGAAAAGTCAGGGTTTCACCAAATAAGGTAGACTTCATCATCTGGGGACCATGAATGTTCATCCATCCAATAGTTCCTGAGATATTCAAGTCTGGATCAAAGTGTTGCACAGACCGTGCAACAGACTGACATTGCCATCCCTAGAGCCACGCTGCTAGCTGGACTAACATTACTGACAATTCTAGTGACAGTATAAGAGAAACAAACAAGAGATACATTTAGACTGACAGCTGCCTTACTCCAAAATAACTTCATGAATATTCATGCAAACAGATTGTGATGTTTCATCTTCCATTAACACATAAGTAAATGGATTACTCTATTACACATCCATCATTTAAATCTGGAAATTTGGTAGGTTTTCCAGTGAAAATCAATAAAATAAAAACAATGAGCCTCATCCAGCTGTGCAGCAGGACATCAGATTGTCATCATATCAACTGTTCACTGGGTATAGGGATCCTCGGTTAGTATTAATGTGGCATTGTGATTTGTTTTTTTGTCTAGGCCATGTTTGAGCTTGTTACATCAGAAGCATCGTACTACAAGAGTTTGGAGATTTTAGAGACTCACTTCCTACGTAACCCTGATTTAATCAACACTCTTAGCCAATCCGATGTGCATTTTCTGTTCTCCAACATCGAGGAAGTGATGAAGGCCAGTGAAAGGTATGATGAGGTCTTGATTAACACAAATCAGTTTATGATTTAAAAGTCTGATCAAGTTCTAGTCCAGCAAACAAGCTTTGCCTTATATCCCTGGATAACGATCTCTTAATAATTTCAGGTTCTTAATGGATCTTGAGCACCGAATTGAGAAGTCTATTTTGATTTCTGATGTGTGTGACATTGTTTACTACCATGCTGTGGAACACTTCGATGTCTTCATCAAATACGTCATTAACCAGGTGTACCAGGAGAAGAACTACAGACGCATTTTGTGAGTACCTACTTTCTAAATACATTGTCTTCTTCATACACTGCTCACAACAACACTTCGTCCGATTTGACTACTGATGATTAAGAGAGAGGAACTGGGAGAAAGAATAACATACTTCATACGCTGCTATTTTTTGTGAATGTTGTCAGCCGGCTTTTCAGTAGAGAACAGGTTTGCTTTTGATCATAACAAATGCGATGTGCAGGGTGTGGTTGACTATGACTATAATGCGTATGTCTCTCTTCATTAACCACACATACCTGAGTGAGAGGGTTGCTTTCCCACGCGCTGCAGAGGACAGGTTCCTCGGATGACTGACACTGTGGGACTTCTGCCAGCTAACAGAAAAAATGTCTGAGACCTGCTGGTTGTTTCAAAACTTAATATGAACATTTTAAAGCCTGCGACTGCGTTTATGAACTAACATATTGGAGATGCGGCACAAAGAAGGTATATCTATTAGATGCCATTGTCCATCTGTTTTGTAGATGTACAGTACATAATGCCAAGTCTTTGGTGTAACAGTCTGATCACACTCATATGGGTGTTAGGAGTGCCAAGCCTAATTACTTGTCACAAACAATAACATCAGTAGCAGTGTAGAAAGATTAGTTCTATCAACCTAGGAAGAACATGACAAAACTGTTCAAAACACGGTGACTAATTATCGTGATACTGAGAGGAGAAGAGCTGCTTTCATTTTCTCTCAGGTGTAAAGCATGTTCCTTCTTCAAACAGTCTGGTCCACTCTTATAGGTTTTTAATGCATTACAGGACAGATTATTTCTCGGCTGAATCAAAGGTAATTTACTCTCGAACTTCACATTCACCGTCATGATTTAATGGGCGTCACTGTTGTATCACTGTGTACCTTAAAGGACAGTGATTGTGGTATATTGTATTTTTCTTAGTGTCATAAAAGTCACCTAAAACAAGACCAAAACAAGTGGATTGATCCAAGTATTGCCTGTGGGGCTGATGTTTAGGTCTACTGGAAACTCAAAATCAGGATTTTTTTTGCTCGTCTTGCGTTCATTTCTCTCTTTTACTTTGATCATTCTTATTTCCTGCTCCAGATGCTGGCTTTTAAAACACTTTGGCAGTGTTTCCTCACAGGGAAATGCTGCTGCTGCTCTTCACTGGGTTTTCCCTTTGATGTATGATTGATAGACCGCCATTAGTCGATTTAGTGTGATGGGAATACCAACATGCAACATTACAGCTGAAACATTCAATTGACCTTTGACCATAAAACTTCCACAACATTCATTCCAAGTGACAAAGAAAAATGATTTCTGTGTGCAGTTAGAACTGGATAGAAAACAAACTAAGCTGGTAAACAATTTAGTGAGAAGCTAAGAGGACAGGGGACTTTTTACCTAATTAAATGTACAATGGCAGCAATATACATATAGTTCATGCTTTATAGCTTTGGGCAGACCAACAAGTTGTTATATCATTAAATTGATTCTGTCTTTGTCTCTCTCTGGTGAAACTCCTGGGCACACAGAGAAATACAGTCTTTTTGTCATTCATGGGGTTGCTTCATCGATTTGGTGTATGTGCCGTATAAGCCTGTCACAATCATATACAATAATATCTGTTGTTCAGGTTGTTAAAAGCTCATCTGGCTCAAACATACAGTTTATATGGCTGGATGCCTCCATTACCTTTACACTGTGTGCCATGTTTATGCATTGCCATAGCAACCTCTGCCCTGTAGTTTTTGCCGTCTTCTTGATTTGCATGTTATTGAAACACCTATACCTTCCTGGGGCTAATTGTACTAATTTTAATCATAGTTTTAGTGATCATTATCATTCTTGTAATCTACACAGTGTTCTATAAAATGCCAAACAAATTGTGATACATTTGAGCTGTCAATGATCTTTAAATTGTATCTTTAATTGTAAAGCACTTTGTATCTCATCCAATTTGAGCCTATAAATAAATCATTGATCAGCTGTCTGACATTTAACAGGGCTGTCTAAGATATCTCGTGAATATGTTTTTCAAGTGATTAATTGGTGACGTGTGCCACGGATGCGCAGAACTGTATTTATCCCCAGTGGGGTAATTTCATTGTATATGCAGCGGAGCACACACACACACAAACACACATATCTCAATAAAAACACATAGGATAAATGTCATAACAAATAATAATAATTATTGGGGCTTGGTGCTGGGAACCTCAGTCTGTAGTGGAGCTTGGAGGGGGTGATTCCCAGAGGGGACGGAGCAAAGTTCAGGAGAGGTGCCGAGTTCAACAACTATGCATATTTCTGACTTAGTGCGCACTCGTGTTTTAGACAGTGTCATGCATCTGGCCCCTGGCATCTGAACTTTAATTAGAAAGGTCAAAATAAAATGATTTTGAGCTCTTATGTGATTTGTATTCTTTACAGAACATCAAATGCTTACCAACAGTACATATGGACGGAATTAACTTCTAAAGTAACTTTCCTGTACACTTAAAAACACCTGAATAGATTAAAGATTCACCTCTTCAGTGGGAACCAATGGGCTTGGGGTTGCGAGCCACAAGTCACAAAGTACTGAGCGATGGACCAACACATAGTTGGCTTGAGTATTTTCATTCATTGGATTTGTTGACAATAGGAAAACACTAGCCTTATCCTTTAAGTGAGGTAAAGAACCTCAAGGTAATACAATTAAATCTAGCCCTCAACACTGCCAGGGTGATCTTGATCCATGGATGATTAGCAGAAACCTAACAGAGGTAAGTGTTTGGTTCTCTGTCTATTTCTGTCTCTCATCACTGTATCGAAGAGAGAGAGAGAGAGAATGTGTGTGTTCTTAATGTAGGATCAACTAAGCATTGTGTTGTCTTAACATGTCTGTCCAGAGAGGGAAACCAGGCTTTTCGGGAGGCCATGGCTTCACTGGAAAACCATCCGCGGGTCAGGGGCCTGTCCTTTACCTCATTCCTCATCCTTCCTTTCCAGAGGATCACAAGGCTCAAGTTGCTCGTACAAGTAAGTGTGCCAACATGAGTTCAAACTGAATGGATACTTTCTAGTAAAATGGCAAGATTCAGCAGTGAGTCTGGATATATTTTGAACACGACAAAGTTTCAGTCATAATTAGGGGTTTTGTGCCACTGTCGAGGCTTTTTGTTGTTGTTCTTTTATTTCACTTGGTTTCTTTCCCAGAACATCCTGAAAAAAGCAGAGGAAAACTCAGAGAGGGAACCAAACGCTATAAAAGCACATCAGCAACTGGAGCAGGTGAGCATCAGTCAAGGGGCGGGGGCCAAGTTGGGTTGAGAAAGGAAATGGGGCCAAAGGATTGTGTCAACATAATGATATGACTATAATTACAATGATATGACTATCATTATCTTGGCACATTTCTTTACGAGCAAGCACTGGATTCCCGGTGTACCACTGTATGATGAGTTTGACTTACATTGATTGTTGACATGAAGGATAAAATGATTGTTGCCATGATAACTTTCCAACACAGCGGTGCAGAGTTTTGGTGTCTGATAACCTGCCTGGTATCTCGTTGTCTCCCCGGTACCTGAAACAATGAATCTGAAGCCCCCACACACTTAGCCCTTTGCCTCTCCAGTTTGCAAAACCATTTCCTCTTGAACTGTTATTTATGTTCTCAGGAGGAATAAACTAAAAATAGATTAATTACCCCTACCTTGTTCACAGGGCAGTCACAATACACTGATAAATCATAAAATAAATGAGATAATAACAACAATAAGGAGCATGTCTCTTCAACTCATTAAAACCTTTTAAAACAACGTGTTTGCTTTGCTCTTTTTCCTTTGGTTGGGAGTTAAGACAGTGAAGCATAATTGTAGGTTATGACCAGCTCAAACTGGGTGAGGCCAGCAGGCGCTGTCAGCACCTCCGACATCCAGCTGCATAAAAATCAATAACCATTGGAGTTTGTAAATCACGTGTGATTAGTAAGCGTGACTTTGCACCCCATCTAAGTCACAACTAGTTCACAAGAACTTGTGCTCAATCTGTGTTTTCTACAGTGGCACCACAAAGCTCACCATATTCAGTGTTTCTTGACCCTGCAGAGAAAACCAATGGGATATTAGTCAAGAAAAGCAAGTTTGATTTGATAAGAGTGACGGATGCACTGTTTTTATCAGAATTCTTATTTACACCTGCTGTACAACATCAAACATTCACTGGGTCCAAGTGTAATTACTAGTGCTGGGCAACGATTACAATTTTCAATCGTGATTAATCGCATGATTTTCTGCGATTAATCGCATTGTTATGCACAAAGTTCAATAATGAATTCAAAAGTAGTGTATTACGCACTTTTATTTTAAAAGTACGGCTATATGAACAAAAGGGCAATAACATTTGGTTTGCAAACACTTTAAACATATAAGGTGCTTTTTAACAGCAGTATACCCTTTACACAGCAGCAGTTCTATCTCTTCACTATCTGTGCTCAGTGTGCTGACTTTATGTGAAACGTTCCACTGCTGTGCAACATGAATAAAATGTTCTGCGCACGTTTCAGCAAAATGTCTGTCTTGTGTCTTCATGATAGTCACAGCATGTGAATGCAGCTCTGCTGTTCATCAATATAATGCTGTAACTCCGAGGTGATGATGGTTACCCAGCGATGTCCAGTAGTCTAGTCTCCAGTGAGAGCAACAGCTGGTGCACGTTGTAACGCCGTCGCTTTTATAGTCCTCTCCTTTTCATACAACTCATGTATTCTTCTTGTGATGGTGCGTCTTGAGGCTCATACGTGCCGTTATTCGTTGCGATGCTAAAAACGTTCCTCAGACCGACATCTTCCACAACACTAACCGGCTGCAGTTTGTATCCACTTCTCTGTGGCATTTGTTAGCTTGTCTTGCTTTTGTTTATCTATACTTCTCCCGCACTCTGCATGCAACGTAGTCTGCCGAAACCTCCCTCCACCGTTTGTTTGGGTGATTTGCTGGCATCAACGGTGCGTATTGCATTTTAAAAAAAACTGCGTTAATGCATGATAAAATAATTGTCGTCGTTAATTAATGAATGCGTTAACGCGATAGTAACGAGTTAACTTGCCCACACTAGTAATTACCCAATCTCATTTCCATGTAGTGGAGTCAGAACTCAGATAATGATTTGAAGCAAGACTGACATTCTTGAGTCTTATTGATGTTTGCCATATCATACATGTTCTAATATTACATGCATGATTTATTTGCATGCTTCTGGTTGTGATGGACCATATGAACCACCACAATCAGCTGTCTCTTAAATGGTTTCCATCATAAATTACACATGCAGCCGATGTTTTTCATAAATTACACCTCAATCCACTAAAATAAACAATAAATGTGAATACAGCAAATGGTGTTTCTATGATATGATTTTCTTTCACTTTGAAAAAAATGCATACATTCCATGGATTGATGGTGTATATTTGTGTCTTCCCCAGATCGTGAAAGAGTGTAACGAGGGGGTGAGAAAAATGAGTCGCACTGAAGAGCTTATCAGCATTGAGAAAACACTGGAGTTTAAATCCAAGGTAAACAAAAACCTTTGTTTTCATGATGGCACATCTTGTCCTGCATCCATTTCATAATATGAAGCCTTGCTAATGTGGCTGTAACAAAGTGGGAGGAGACGGTTAGTAACAATCAAACAGTGAGATACAATAATGGTGTTAAGGATAAAGGGGATTTTGTTCAGACTGTAGCTGTGTCCCAATTTAGAAACCACCTTCTTCAAGTCTGGATTGAAAATAAAATAAAATAAAATAAAAATAATAAAAATAAGTTATTATTTGTTTCGTGTAAAAAATAAAGCTCAACACCTATAAATACACTAACATGAATACGCCGAGAATGTGTCTCCTCTCTTCTCTGACTGCAGCTGGGACTGCTGCACACTGCTGTGAGAGTAACCGCCTGTGAGTGCTTTGTGGCGGCTCACGGCAGCACCCGCTGCTCGTTCACGACAGTGCAGAACGTACGTGCTTTCACGTCAGAGTCAAAACACCAGAAAAGTTTCCAACAACACCAGAAAAAGTAGCTAGATTTGTCGCGAGTAGCTTTTGACAAAAAGTCGCCAAGAGGGTTTGGAAAGTCGCCAGATTTGGCGAGAAAATCGCCAAGTTGGCAACACTGGCACCGACTAAATGTGTCCCCAGAGCAACATTGGACGTAACAATGGTTCCTATCACTTATAAAACAAAACAAAAATCCATCTTCATAAAAACAAGTTGTACAAATAATAATATATAAACAAGCATATTAAAGCTACTGCAGATGTAAAAACAAAAGCAGTTCACTTACCAAAGGTGCTGTTCACTATTTAAAGACAAAGCCCATCCTCCTTTCTTTGTTAACAAAGAGTTTAATACCACGTGCGTTTTACTTCCAGTAAGAAGTCCTTCTGGATTCATGGACACCAGTGAAGACAGTTGAGCCTCCCCAGTTGTATTTCTTGAATACGTTTTAATGCGTTTGAGGCTGAAAATGTCCGCTCGACAGAGGCAGCAGATATTGGGATTGTCACCGCCCAACATGTCACGCTAGCCCACTGACCAATCACGTATGGCTAGGCCAGCTAGAAGGCTCTCACATGTCAAAGAATACGCCCAACATGTCAAACTAAAGATCTGATTGGTTGAAGACTATGACAATCAACAATATCGTCCCCATTCACTTAAACTGCAAAGGGATTCACTTGTGAGTCTGCAGGCCTCGGGCCTCTCTTCTTACCTAGAGACATAGGGGTGAAATCTGATTGGATGAAAGCTCTACTTAAAACAAGCTGCACTGGAAGCTGAGCAACTGAGGAAGACAGTAGCTGTGCAATGAAAAAATAAGCTAATGGGAAAAAAAAATATGATACATGTAGTGTATTTATGAAAAATGATTAAATTATAAAATAGCTATAACTTTGTGATTCTGTCTAGGCCAGCAGAGAAGGCTTTGCTGGCCCTGACGGCTCACCACAAAAGAAAGCCACATTTCTGAGAAATGTGGCTTTCTTTTGCCCTATGTTTGACATGTGGTTCATCTTTCATAGCCATCTGTGTCCCACAATCTATTGGGCACTATACCTATTCAAAGGTGTGAAGATTGGAAGTATAGCACAATCACATGGTATTTCCCTAGTAATTGCATTCAGATGGTCATTACTCAATGGTAAATACATTGATAACATTTGATAACCTTCCTTCCATTGTGGTCTACTACTTTAACCGAAAAAACAACACGAGTAGTCTCAGATGCATGAACAAGACCATCACATCATCACATGAACAAGACCAATCGAATATGCCACTGTACGGAGTAAACCAGAGAAGCTGCTATTAAGAGGGATGAGTAGAGTTCATGTGAACTACTGTATGAGCTATGGACAACCTATTCTTCTTTACATATGGAAGCCAAAAGAATGGGTGGAAATCTTGTGTTCATGACTAATTTAAGTTAATTATCTTGCATAATGTTTGTCACATTAATTATTCAAGCTTGAAGAAATAAGATAACAAGTATTAACAACTCTGTGTCCTACAAAATCACTTCTCAACTAAACTGCATTCTCAATTATGTTTCGAGGGAAATGCATCTCCTCCCAGATTACAGCTGTGTACTCTCTTTAGCAAACAACAAAGAGCCATGGCTGCTACAGAGACCCTTCCTGATATCCTTTTTGTATCACAAAGGAAGAATACTGTCAGATTCTGCACCACCCGAATAGCACTGATACAAAAATCCCCCTAAAAAGAAATTCCGAAGAAATTGTGATTGTATATGTGGCGGAGTCTAGCCCTCTGTCTAACTGCAAGTGTATCGGACGTGGTTTTTCATTTGCACGTCTCAATCAATACACATGTCTGTACTGGCTCTGTGCAGGCTCAGTGCCGTCTCACAGACGTAACTGACACTTGGAGTTTGTTTGGGCTTCAAGTCTATTTTTTTGACAATACACAAGTAAATGTGAGGCTGATGCCCAATACAAAGGCACGGAATAACTGTGTCTTTGGCAGAAGGTTATTTGAGAAAGTGTGAGTCGAGAGGTCCTTGAACACGGAGCCATAAATGAGCTCCTCACTGGGAAGCCAGTAGCAATCTATATCAAAATGATATGCTTATTCTACTTAATTATAAAAGCTATAGATAAACTAAAACAATTAAGTGAATAGATACAGATATGCAATAATGATTGCTGGGTGTGACAAGACAATATGATATACTCAAGCTATCTGTCAAGATGAGTATATCCGCAAGCCGAGTGAGCATCATGCCTTTTCAACATAAAGGCCGCAAGAAGAACCTAAGACCCGTCATAACAGCGTGCACTGGAGCTTGTCGTAACTACTCAGGAATCAGGAGACCACAATCCCATATTAGGAACTTTTCAAAGTAAAGGACACTTTGACGAGGACAGAAATGACTCTGGGGCAATATATTTGTTTAATCAGTGTGGTAGTCAACGAGCTCAATCACACACAAGCTTGAGACTTGATCTTTGAATTGTATTGTTATGGGGGGAAAGGCACTGGGGGGGGGGGGGGTCGCTCCGCCAGACTTATGTTTATGGCACATACCACATACCAACAACGTCCCTTGTGGGGGGATTTGTTACATGTCTCTCCCTCCCTTCGTTTGCTGTGTGCCTCTCTACTATCATCCATCCAATAAAGGCCATGATGCCAAAAACAAATATTTAAGAAAAATGTGTACTTAGCAGAGGTACAAAAAAACAGGTGAAAATGTATGCTGTGTTATTACTTTGACTGCATATGTAGGTAAGAGAGGAGAGAAAATTAATCCAGTTGAGCTGAATGGTTGATGAAAGAGCACATCTTGTTTAAAGAAAAAAACAAAAACGAGTTGTTGGTGAAGTACAGGTTAGTTTAAATGGAAGAGGGAAGGGATGTTGTGAAAAGACTGTTGCAACTGCTGTTGCACGTTGAGACCGATAGAAGGCTGTAGTACTGTTTGGTAAAGAGCCACGGAGTGTATGCTGTCAGGAGTGGAGACATGGTAATGCAATCCATCTGTGACAAACATCCACATAGACGTTTGTCACAGATCGAGAGAGGCAGAGATGCATGAGCAGCCATTTCTCATTGAGAATAATGCGAAGAGTGCTAGACTGGCCAATTGTGGCAATTGTGTGGATTCATTTTGACAAATGTGCTTGAGGCGTTTGGTTTTTAATTTTAACAGACTTTCAGATTTTTCAGAAGAATGGGATTATAAAAAGAAACAAATTCTTATTCATTTGGAGTTCAGTCCCAAAGGTTTAGGCTAAATTATGTTTGGCTCTTTGTGATTATACTGTTTTCCACAAAGCTCAACAGTTAGTTTGGGCCAGAGCAACCAACTGTTAACAAACCATGCTAACTCTATTCACTCATGTTTTGAGTAGGAGCATGGCACTCTCCACTGACTAACCAACCCAAATGCTCTATTAACTGCTAATAATCAGTGATACGTATCTATGATTAAGGACAGGTTCTCCACACCTACTAATGGTCAAAGAGGTCACACGAAACATAGTTACAAATGTAACTTACTATCCCGTATCAAGTACATGATGTACAAACTAATACATCAGAATGATACTGTGCAGAAACTATGGCATTAAAGAAGTTTTAGAAATTAGGAAATATTCCACTAACCCTGATTGGAAACTCCTATCTTTCTTCCTGTAGTCTGTGCCCATCATTTCACACTCGCGCTGGTTGCTGAAGAAAGGTGAAGTGCAGCAAATGGCTGGGCCTAAGAGCACTAGGACCATGCGGAGTCGTAAGCTCTACCAACCAGTCTACTTGTTCCTTTTTAACAATCTGCTGCTGATCACCAAGCGCAGCTCAAGGTAAGCATTTGGTAATGTATGCTCACTGTGAAATACTCAGTTAAACTGTAAATCCTTCCTACATGAAGCTTCATTTTGTGTTGAAACTGTTTCATAGAGGTGTTTAACTTCATGATCACTATGAAGGATATAGTTTGTGGTGCTGTGTAACTATTTTGCATTATACAGAGAGGTCTTTTCTTGTTTAGCCTACCCTCATTGATGTTAATGGACTGGACAAAATAATTAAACAGTATAATACAATACAATTCAAAAGCACCACAAACATGTGTACATGTATGTTCACATTCAGACTGTTAATTCAGTCAACTTGTTGTCAGTGGGGACAAGTTCCAGGTTATTGACTCATGCACACGGGCCATGTTGAGGACTGAAGATCTTGAAGACCAGGGCCAACTTCTGGCGAATGTCTTTAATCTGAAACTGCTGGAGAACCAAGAGGAGCGTCCAGTCAGCTACATGCTCAAGGCCTCCAGTATGTAAGTATCTGAAGCAGAATCAGCTTAGGGTTCCGCTGAGATGTTGAGAATGAGATGGGGTCAGCTGTGGATGGGTTTGTTTGAAAGCAAACAGACTAATCACGGTTATTTATGATATAGATATGTGATTTTAGCATGAAGCTGAATTACTATTAAATTAATCTGCTGATTGTGAACTGTTCAGAGGCAAGGCAAGGCAAGTTTATTTGTTAGCACATTTCAACATCAAGGCAATTCAAAGTGCTTCACATAAAACCATTAAAATCATCAAAACATAAGGCAAAAGTAAAGGAGATTTAAAACAATTGAGAACATTCATTGAAACATTAAACACAGTCATTAAAACACTAAAAAGCAGTGTACGAAATAAAATACTGTAGTAAAATGTAGAAATGCAGGAAATTGATTAATATCCTTGAATCTGGTTGAATTAAAGGCAGCAGCAAACAGAAAAGTCTTCAATCTTGATTTAAAGGAGCTGAGGATCTCAGCAGACCTGCAGCTTTCTGGGACTTTGTTCCAGATATGTGGAGCAGAAAAACTGAACACTGCTTCTCCATGTTTAGTTCTGACTCTGGGAACAGAAAGTAGACTGGTCCCAGATGACCTAAGGGGTCGGGATGGTTCATAAGATAGCAGCAGATCAGAGATGTATTTTGGCCCTAAACCATTCAGTGCTTTATAAACCAACAGCAGGATTTTAAAGTCAATTCTTTGTTGGACAGGAAGCCAGTTCAAAGACCTCAGAACTGGAGTGATGTGATCTTAGTGAGATCTTAGTGAGGACTCGAGCTGCAGCGTCCTGATTGACTTTTTACAGAGACCTGTAAACACACCTTTACAGTAGTCCAGTCTACTGAAGATGAATGCATGGACAAGTTTTTCCAAATCCTGTTGAGACATAAGTCCTCTAATCCTTGATATATTCTTCAGAACAATGTAATGATGATCAATCCATATAAGACATGAAAATATTTACCTATGTAATACATTTAACTTTAGTCCTTGTGCTTTTGGCCAGTGTTTTGGCTAAAAGCCAAATATTCTTATTAACTTTATCCTTGTACTAAACACATCAGCAGTGTTATCAAGTCAAAGTCCGCCTTTGTATACAAGAATGTGTTCTTAACAGTGGCGGGCCGTGCATTTTATACCTGGGCCTTTAGTGCTGTCCTACAGTTGAACCACCTCCTAATAACCTCATTATGACACCACAGCTACGGGTTATTATTTGTTTCAAGGGGTGTAACACGTATTCGTATTAAACTGTTCGGCTTACGAACCGAACAATATGTTTGAATAATACTAGTGCATTTGGAAAATGCAGTAGCTTAAATTGTGGGAAATATAATATTCTTTCGGTGGAGCCACTGCTCTCAACCTGGCAACCCACCCAATGTGCTGTCTGACACGCCCACCACGGAAGACAAACATTGTACTCTGGTGATGCACGTGTGTTCTGGAAGACACACTATGCTAAATTAGCTTAGCAGGAAAAAAAAAGGTTGAGAGTTTTCAGCACACACGCTGAAAACTCTCCCCACAGCGTTTAGCTGTTCCCTACCGATTCAAACAGGGCTAAAGTAATCGCCACACAATCCCCATTTCTGCAGACCATAATTCTTACTTTATAAAAGAAAACAGATACATGAATACGCGCATGACTGGATGCTTCGTCATCAACGGACAATGCATATAGTCAAAATCAATGTAATTAACACAATGACGAGAACAAACTCGCAAGAACCTCTCACATATATTTATATGACAACAAAGCATGACAAATCGATCCAGCAACACTGCAGCGCTAAAACACGCATTCTGCCACACACTGAAGAGCACGGGCCATGAACAATGTTAATCATATCATAAAAACGACATCATAGACAAATGAACACAGTAGTAACGCTACTGCAGGTGTAAAAACAAAGCAGTTCACTTACCAAAGCTGCTGTTCACTTAAAGACAAAGTATATCCTCCTTTCTTTGATTACAAAGAGTTTAATACCGCGGTTGTACAGAACATCGGTGCGGTTCAGTTCCAGCCAGAGGTCCTCCTGTGAACGTGTTCGTTGAGTTGTAGATCCACTCGGGTCTCAGCAAAAGTTTTCAAAAGCACCGTAGCTTGTAAGTGTCCTGTCGTGCTATGGTGTCTTGTTGCTGCCTTGGTTAGCAAATCTAGCGTAGCTCCAAACACTAAGACGCTCAGTCGCAAATAAAACCCATTCTTAGCCATAAAATGTGCAACGCTTCTACGACGCTGTCAGCCAGGAATACCATTCGTACAAATCCTTTTCCTGGTTGGCTCAGGGCTGCTAGCTGTGGGGTAGGCCGACCCTTTCTTACGATGTCCAGCTTTTCTGGAAATGTCCTTCTCCAGAAAGGCCAGTAACTCCCAAATCCGCTTCTCTTCCTCCTTCAGCCATTGAGTGTTAAAAAAACAAAGCTACACCAAGCAAAATGCTAAAAATGTCATGTCAATGTCATAACTTCTTACATATCTTTCAACTTGAACTCGAACCTTCCCTTAATCACAACGTTAAATAATTACTTATCATTCTCTAGATCAGCCTTTTTGAAACTGAGAGCTACTTCAAGGGTACTGAGTACTGAAGGGCTACTTGTTTGATACAAACTTCCTGAATAACAAAGTTGCACATATGATTATTATTTAATAATAATCATAATATATGTGAAGAGACTGTCTGATGACATGTCAATGTTAATTATTCCTCACAATAATTATTAACAATGATTGTGTATTTTGTTCAAAATCACACCTGTTATATTTTTATATATACTGTATTTTATCACTTCTAACATTTTTTAGGAAATCATTAACTGTCATATCTTCAAATCATGTCTTGTTTGTACTAACCACTGTAACATTTTTGAACAGATCATGAACTCTGTCCCATGTTTATACAAATTATCAGTTATGTAAGATTTAAAAAAAATCAACTCTTTCACATTTTTTAATTAATCCTATCGCATCAGTACTAATCACCAAATTTTGGGAAGTCTGGGTCACCTTTGCATTGCTCAATGAAGCCTGCATGCCGGCCCATCATGGCGGGAGCCCCGTCTGTTGTCACCAACACCAGCTTTTCTAATGGTACCTTTTTCTCCACGAAGAAACTAGTAAAAAGTCTCGTCTATAGCCGAGGGGGGGATCCAACGCGCCCCCTCCGAGGCGCGCGAGCATCTTCGGTCGCCCGCGTTCAAACGAATGATGAACATACCAAACAAGAACGAAGTTTATAAAAATGTATTAACCTTTAACTGGTTACTCATCATGACATCCTGTGAACAGGAGTGATAAGCTGCGATGGATGTGTGCCCTCACTCCTAACCGGCGCACACGCTTTATGTCAACTAGTGCTCACCAACAAGGTGAGACAGAATATCACAGCAACATTGTGAACAGTCCTCAACACGCAGACATGGAGATATGAACTAACTATCTGTGATATTTATCAGACTCTCCACAGGTGCAATGTATTCACTCATACTCATCTCAGGAGCCAGATGAACTCTCCATCGAGACGGCCGATGTTTTAAACCTCCTAGAAAGAACAGACGATGGTGTGTAGATGCTTTTATGTCCCAGTCTTGTGCATTGTTTTCTCTTTCCATCTCCATGTCATCTCTGGTCTTTCTGTGTCTTCTGTATTCCAGGCTGGATGATGGGGGAAAGGCTCCATGATGGCGAAAGGGGCTGGTTCCCTTTTCGATTAGTAGAGGAGATCCTGAGCAAGGTGGTCCGAGCTCAAAACCTGAGAGAGGCCTTCAGGATCCAGCAAGCCCAGAAAGGTGGAGGAGTTCTGCTAACTGAAGCCAGGATTGGTACAAGGGTGGGAAGACGCACTCCAAATTTCTCCAACTTCTCCAATCAATGAATTCATCAAATGTGGAGACCAATGAAGTAAAACAGAGAAAGTAACAGTGATGAATGTCAACATTCAGGGCCATATGCATAAAAAAAATGATCAGGATACATGTGACTTAAATCCCATAAAATGACATCTTGTTCTTTTTATTTTCACTTAGCAGTTGATGGTTTTAAAAATCCAAATGATCAAAACGCTTGAGGCAATTATCTTGTACAAGCGATGCTGCATTTCTCATATAAACGCATGCTGAAGGTGTTTTGTAGGCCCACACACTGTGGTGTGTAATGCATGGAGCAAAGCTCTCTGTTTGGTTGGGAGCTGTATTTGGGGATGGCAAGAACTCCAAAAGTCTTGTAAAGGAAGTGTAAACATCCTTCAGCTGCATGGGCATGTTTTAAAAGTTGTATGTGTTCATTTCATTGTAAAATTCCTTTCAACACTGAATTATACCCCACAGCCACAACACAAACGTTTAGGTGGACGGTGACCATGAGAGTTTAATATAAAATACAACACAATGAAATACAGAAACATCGAAAACAAAACAAAATACATGCAGTGCATTTAGTGTTTGATGAAATCCTATTTTATGAAAATTAGCAATGATCACTAAAAAGTCTTTGTCTACAAATAAGTGAGTTATACTCCCCCCAAAATCTTTTGAGTTTGAAACACTGAGTTGATTGCTGGCTGTAAAATGTGTTATAAAGGAGAACAACGGCAGTAGTCAGCTTAGCTTCATAGCGGTTACAAAAGTGACTGGACATCCATAAGAAAATCTGTGGTGTCAGCTTCAAATGTGTGCACAATCATGCAAACACATATGCCCCAAATAGATTGCACGCACACAGACACATAATATATCTCGTTAGGTTTGGTACATGCACATCCATATCAAAACTGGTATATGTCCCAAAAAATACATGCTTTGCTAGCAGAGACCCAAATCGGACCCTATATAACAGCTTGGCATGGTGGCTGATCAGAACACACACCCCTACCAAAACACACCTATAGTCTACTCACCTCATTTTATTTAAATGGAATCCGACGAGTCTTGTGTAGTGCAGAATCCTGTCCTGGTAATCAAACTCCCTGTCTCTGGGATAGTTTTGAATTATCTAAGTTTTTATTTCATTTAGGTTTTGACTTTCATTTTAGTTTAGTTTTAATAGTGTGTTTGCTAGTTTTAGTTTAGTTTCACTTTCTCAAAAAGGTTGTATTTTTTAAATATTTAGTTTTCGCTTTACAGTAGTTGTAGTTTGTTTTCGGGCCAGGTATAATGTTTTAGAAGGATGTAGCTACCACATAGCTATCATATTGAAACTTCATCCTGACCCCAATTGATTAACATTGGACCTGAGCTGCCATTTGATTTACTAAAATATTTAAATCATGCTCTTGTTATTTAATTAGTCTGCATGTGAAATATGTGGAAAACATTTTTTTTCATCTACTGGAATGTCAAGTCTGTTCAATTTCTGTAGTTTATTGTCACGAGAGAAGACAAAAATCACACCTCTCTCCTAGAGCTAATAATCTGAAGTGAAATGAATTCATGTTCATTTTAATTTCAATCATTTTTAACCAGGCAATATTGTTTCAGGAAAGATCTCTTTTTCTTAAGGGATATTGTAAGTTCACGTCAGTTTTTTTCAAATGATAATTTTTGTTTTAGTTTTGATTTTATTTAACATTGAGAACCCTGACACTCTCTCCTCTGCCACAGTGCAAGTATTTTCGAATTTGTTCTAACGTTAAAGGTGCTAAATTCAATATTCAGAGCATTAATACAGCAGCAAACAACTATTGTCTATGCAAAGATATAGAGGAGTAATGTCTACGTAGGCCAAGAATTAAGTCACTCTCCCTCTGTGTGTGTTGTGATCTGAGCTTTTCGGGCCTGACGGTTAGCGTGCCCACTAGGTCACAGCGGCCGTTCTGCACTGCTTTCATACAACGATTATAGCGCCCACTCTCTAGTTCCCCCTTAGGTAAACACTGTTAGCTTTGTTTGCTGGTGTTTGCCCTGTTAGCTGCAAGCTTCCTGCTTAGCTGACGCCATGTTGGGAGCTGTGGGAAGACAATAGATATGCTCTGAAGAACCGTTAAAAAGGATCTCTCTGCTCCTGCAACATCATCTACGTCATCTTGTTAGATCATTACTGTCACATGATGAAATAGACACTCGTGCGTGGACTAGAGTATTATTCCATTAATCCGTGCAAATAAAACAAAAACAATGTACACAGATAATTTAATTGAATAACTCATAATATATAGCTATACAGTATGTACATATAGCATACAGACATCAGAAAGTGTGATTGCAGTTTTATAGTGACATGTACTTGAAATATATATTATACTACCAAGTGCAGCTTCAGGTGAGATTACAGTTTACATTCCTGTGCATTACACATGGCTCCCAGCTGCAACAACGTATCTAGCACACTATCATAAACAGTCCTCTTGATTTTTGACCTGCCATGAACCTAAGCTGACCACAGTCTTTGTCCTCTGTCAAAGAACAAACTACAAACTAATAGTCACCTGCTGAGCCTACAGTATTTTCTAGTGAAAAGATACATTTTGTACGGGTTACTTCTTTAAAACTGTCAATACAACAGAAGTACACACACACACACACAAATACACACACACAAACAAGGGATAAAGACTATAAAAGCAGTTTAATGCCAAATAACTGCAATTTGTCGTAACTTTATAGAATGTATCAACACTATGGATCAGCATGATTGTAAAGCCTTGTTTGTCTTTAAATATAGTATATGTACAGTGATGCAAATATTTGATGTTCAAGCTAATAATTACTAAATAATTTCATTTTGTAAGATATAAATTATTGTTCATAAAAAAGCATTAATCAGAGATGTGCCTGTGTCGCTGATGTAAATTTACCGATTGCATTATTATTTTGTTATTTCTTTGGAACATACAAATACATATGCACAGCTGATCTTTTCCCTTTGTACTTTGGTTTATGGTAACCACCTCCCATTTTAATATTTACATTCACAGTCTGTAGGACTATACTAGAATAGGAGGCATTAGCGACAATGTGGGGCCAATATGTCTCTAATATTTATATTTTATTTTGGTGACTGAATGTTGTTGCTCCAATGAGTGTGTCACTTCGACAGTGGCTCCCATATAGTTTTAACACAGTATGCAAATACAGCGAATTCTACAGACCTACTGTATTTGACTGATAGACTGTAGCAGATCATGGTTGGCTAAAATGGAACATTTATGTATGTCTTAACTAATTTTCAAAGCATTTCATTATTACTGAGGTTAATGCAACATGTGGACATAGGTATTTTTTGGGGTACAGACACAATACAGGTTTTTGAAAAGCATGTAGGAACCAAACACAAAGTGAGGTTAAAATGTCCATTGAAACATACAATAGCTGACTAGAGCAGATCCTAAGGACACAAGATGGGATACCGTCTGGGCCAGCAGCTTTGCATGCTTTGTCATATTTCAAAACCTTAGTCCCTGCCTGGAGTAGTGCACCTGGAGTAGTCGGAATACTTTTCAAAATGATCCTGGTATTGTATTTTAGTTGACCTGATGGCTTTCCTAAGCTTGTACCAGGTTTAATTGTAGCGATCCTTATCCCCTGCTTTAAAAGTGGTGGTAATTTCTTTCAATTTGAGCTAAATATTGCTATCACACAAAACAAAAACAAAGAAACAGAACCAAACATTACTGCATTCCTGTTGTGCATTTTTTGAATTTGCATTAGGTGAATTCTCTGGACATCTAATATGATCGATAGTCATGTGATGCAGAAAAGAGGTATTGCTGAAGTATACTTCAATGTGTCTGCCGGTGATGGCATACTTTATCATTAATTTAGTGGGCAGTATATACTGATTGAGTATGTAGTATGCACTACGTTAGTATGCATTTTCAAACATACCCTGAGTCTCGTAAGCCCATATCCTGTGTAATACTTCTGACAAACTGACTGTGGACCATAGACACAGTCAGTTTGTACAAATGTACAAATCATTTAAGCAAACAATATTGTTTAAGCAAACAATATTGTTTGCTTAAACAAATCATTTAAGCAAACAATATAAACAATATCTTATATATAAAACATAGCAAGCAAAATAAATATTACACATTAATAACAAAAAAAAAACCTAAAAGTAAACAGAGTTAACCTATTTGGTTTGGGCGACGTTTGGAAAAAGGTTATAAATCACTGATCTGAAGTGGAAATAGCCAACGTAACGTCACCCATTGTTATGTGGACTATGGTTTTGAAACCTCGAGTTTGGCATTTTGTCTATTGTCATCTTGTTCTTTTTTAAACCAAAAGTGACATGAGGGTGGACCTAAGTACACCCGAATGCTATACATAACATTGTTAGGCGACCAAAACGTTAGAACTCACAGATTGAACAAGATTGTACAGTTCTTTTGCTGGTGCGCAAAAGAACTGTACTTTTGTGTAGTAACTCCAGAATCAGTAGAGACTTGTCAATCGCAAGGTAGTGATTCAAAGCTACAAGTAAAATGACTTGATTGGGAACAACAACTGGTAAAGTATGTGATGGTGCATCAAGGAGTAGAACTATGTCACTGTAGGTAAAGCTGAACTTACTCTACTCGCATTGCTACTCTGATGCATTCGGATATGATGTACAAATCATTTAAGCAAATATTGCTTTTGGCAATGATTCATTTTTTTCCAGATTCTCGATAATAAAGTGTCTTCTTCCTCTTGCTAAGTGGTAGTTACTCATATAGCAGTGCTTTTCATGTAGTACCAGTACCTGATTTGTGTGATATTGCACCAGACTGTCATGTTATTTTAGATGTTTTTTTTAAAATGAATGGAAAACCCATCACATTGGCCTTTGTACTGTCACTCACTTTGATTACCTGGAGTGTACAGTATAATGGACTAAAGATGGGGGGCTGGACTCTTTTTACTGACTCCAGTTTGTACAAGTCACTCACTAAACAGTGTCAGGTTTTCAAGTAATTTGAGTCACCGAGTCAGTCAGAGCAGCAAACTCCAGCAGCAACAAACAAGACCAGTTTGTTACACACACTGCAGCATTAAATAACAAGTCAAGAAAATCACTCTTATCAAGCAATAATTACAGAGTGATGGATTTCATGGTTAATCAATCAAAAGCGAGTAGTAGCAGTTGTTAGGGTTAGATGTTTTCAGGGGAGACCCAGACCGCTGGACTTTCCAGTCGCACCAAAAATGAACTGGATCCGGTTAACAATCAAAAAGTATTTAATAAACAAGAGAAGCTAGAACAGTTGCAAACTGAATTACTCTATTGATATCAATATGTCCCCAGGGCAGAGTTCTCACAAGGCCCACTAAATAGCCCAGCCCAGCTGGGCTACCCAGCGTGGTAACGGCGCGACCTCTGGCCAAAACCCTCTGGAACTAAGCCTATATTTAAAAGTCTCTGTCCGAAAGTTTAAATGTCCAGTATCAGCCTCTGTGATTGGCCGAAATTCAATAGCCCCTCCTGGCTTGGGGCAGTTATCATCTCAGTGTTTGGTTGAAGTCGTCCGGACTCCTCCTCAGGTTCTGGTGGTCAGTTGTCCACCCCTCTGTCCTCTGCTGCACCTCTGTAAAGTCTCACTAAAAATGTTCCCTTTCTGACCCTCAAAACTATTCATATAGTGTTTTAATACCTTTAGTGACTATACTTCTATGGTTTAATACATTCAATGAGTAAAATACTGTAACATAATATCCTCTACAAGTAAGAATATTGTAAACATAATACATTCCATAAGTAAATATTTTGTGACTCTAACATATTTTGACATTCTTATTATTGTGACACTTCTACTCACCACTTGGGGTGTTATTTAATCCTACTTATAATATTTCTAATACTGAAATCCTCCACACAGTCTACCAAAAGGGGACAAATTAAAAAGTTACTGAGTACTCACTCAGTAACTTTTTAATTTGTCCCCTTTGATTTGTGTTGTTATTGGGCTAGTAGTAGTAGCAGCAGGTAGGTGGGGTGAGTCAGTGAAGTCATTGGAGATCAGGACTTGTGAGACCGGTTCAATTCCAGCCAAAGACATTTGTTGCATGTCATAACCCTCTCTCTTTCAGTGCTTCTTTTCCATATCTACACTGTCACTTTCCAAAAGCCAAAGGCTAAAAGAAAATGTCTTATAGCAAGTCAGTGAGTCTTGGAACTCAACTGTTAATTAACATTGGTTTTGTGAATTGACAAAATAACAAAAAATAAATATTGGCCATTGGCAGGTGCTGATGTTTGAAAAGAATAAGGAATGTGTTGTGTACTTTACATTTCATAAAAGATACAACATAGTGGCGAGTCTTTTTCTCCAAGAAAGATCTAGACGATTACATCACTTCAATTTCAGACAGGTACCTGGTAGGTAACTCAGTAGTTGCCTAGTTGAAATGGCAGACAACTAGTGATCAGAGTGGTTGGAATCTCCCCAGCATGATCACACAGACATAGTGAAAAGCCTATAATGACAAAAGACCTAATTGACTTTCCATTGGTATTGTTTCTGTGGTGTCGGGTCACCACCACATACAGTGCTGTTAAGAGGTCATGGTCATTTCACATACTTCTTTGAGATCTGGCTGAATCTCCCAGTTTCACTTGTTGTATCACTACTAGTGTTCAATACATCCTAATACAGCAGTTTGGCATAATTTTGAGCCATTTTGAGATCTCATATCTCTCCTCCATGGAATTTTCTGCAGATTAGGACCGAGCCAAAGTAACGAATGCTAGAGAATATCACGGCGTATATAGAAAAACAGGCGTATATAGAAAAACAGGCTAAAAAAAAAAGAGATTTAAAGCATACGGTTAAAGTGCTTGATCCCCACTGCAATATCTATTCACGTGCATTAAGTATGTCCATTGTGCCTGCCTTGTATAAATGAGCAAAAACTACAACCCAGTTCAGGAATTATCAACAGGTCAGAGTCTGATAATGGAGCATTAGAATCAGAAATACTTAACATTTATATTACAGACATTTCTGTTATTTTTTTTGTTATTTAATTATTTATATATTATTGATAATATACCAGTATTTGAGTGACTCATTTGAGTGATCACATTTGAAGTGATCAAAAACGTACTGAAACTTGACCCGAAAACCAAGTTAATTACGTGTAACACTCTTACTATTTATATATATACATATGTAACATAGTTAGTTGTTCAGGTTAACTGTTGACAAAAAATAATGTGAAATAACTTGACTAACTCTACTGTTAGTACATAACAGTAGAGCTGACTTAATTTATTTGGACCTAGAATAGACTATAATCGCCATGTTTTAATAAAGTTAACCATTTGTTTTTTTATGTTTTATTGCCAGAAAATAATTCTCTAACATTAACATGATGCCGTCTTTCTAGACAGAGCATGTGCTATTGTCCACAAGTGTGACCGTTCTACTATATTGTCCTTTGTCATAAATGCAGGTATGTTACAGTATGTTGCTCTATAGAGTGTAGTAATAAACATGCAGATGGAGTATTTTCTATGGTCTAATTTTCTAAGTTAAATAATTATAAGAGGAAAAACATTTTTTTAAAGGGTAACAGTACAGTGGAAGAAATCTGTATAAATATATTATGAATATTTTTTGTATTTCTCCTGAATTTAAACCCACGATAGGATCACTGTATCATTGTACCTCTGTATCAGTGTATTTAAAAAGTAAACACATGGGTAACCTTAAAAGCAATGGAGGACTTGCCACTAGACAGAGCATGCAATTTGTCCTTGGGCAAGACACTTAACCCCAAGTTGCCCGTAGCTGTGCCTACGGTGTGTGCTGTTGTATGCATGTTAGTTAGTCCTGATGGGCAGGTGGCACCTTGCATTGTAGCCCTTGCCATCAGTGTATGAATGACGACATGTCCACTCAAAAAGTGCTTTGAGAAGACTAGAAAAGTACAGTCCATTTACTATTTACCTGGAGACATCTCAGAGGTCACACATACAAACATACACAATTTCTTAACTAATGCCGACTATGAGAATTTAAAAAAAAAAAGATTGCTCGAAATAAACAAAACTAAAGATAGGTTGGCTTGTCAATAATATTTCGTTGTTGTTTCTGTTACGTGTTGTGTTTAACGACAGGTTGTTTGCTATATGATTAGGCAGTCACTCTCCCAAACTTCTGAAAATAATGAGCTCCCTAGCTGAGGAGGTGTCAGAATGCAGACAGTGGTAATGAGTTCCCAGTTCTTGGAGGTGTGTGAAGTCTGACATCTGCCTGCATGCCCACCAGACCATCATTCACACTTCTAATTGGTGTTTATGTTGCATTAATTATTACTCTAGACACAAGGTAAAATAACTTTATTGTAATATGCTATTTCCCATAAGAAAGACACAACTTTAGATTGCAAGAAACTGGAAGTGGCATGATGCCACATTGTGTAGCAACTCTTGACCTTTTCCTTGTGTGGCATGCATGTTCTCTCCATATTTTATTGTACTATTTCTGAAAGGATAAATGTCACGGGGCTGTGAGTGTGGACCCAAATGCAGGCACGGACCAGGGATTATAGGTGAAAGGTTTATTTACAGGAAACCAAGGGGGGAATGACCAGAGCACCGCGGGAAAGTCCAGGGAGGGTGAGGGTGGAATCCAGGCAGGAGGAGGTAGGGCAGGGCAGGCAGACTGGGGAACTGGGAGGATGGAAAAACTGCAGGAACAGAGAGACAGGGTTAAAGCGCTGAAACTACACTTAAGGAAAACTCTGAATTAACTTCAAACAGAGCGGCCAAGAACTACTAGCTACCGCGTGAGCTGGAAACAACGATCTGGCGAAGAGTGGATAAAGAACCGGGGTAGATATACTGTTGGGTTGATGAGTTGATGGAGTGCAGCTGGCTTGACTGGGCAGGTGAGGCGAGTTGTAATTAGGAAGCCGGGAGGAGACCAGGTCGAAGCCCTGCCCATAAGATACACACACGGGACAAGCAGGAGGCACGGCCTGGCCGTGACAGTACCTCCCCCTCAACGAGAGCCTCCAGGCGATCCGCCAGGCCTGCCAGGGTGATCCCTACAGAAGTCCCGGATGAGGGAAGGGTCCAAGATGAGCTGGCGGGATATCCAGCTCCGCTCCTCCGGGCCATATCCCTCCCAGTCCACGAGGTACTGGAATCCACGACCCCGCACGTCCAGGATCCGCCGGACAGTGTAGGCTGGGTGGTAATCAATGATCCGGGGGGGGGAGGGGGAGCGGCTGGAGGACAAAGTGGACTGACTGAGACAGGTTTCAACTGGGAGACATGGAATGTGGGGTGAATCCTCAACGAAGCAGGTAACTTGAGTTTCATGGCTGAAGGGTTAATAATAGAGTCTATCTCAAAGGGCCCAATGTAACGGGGCGTAAGCTTCTTAGAAGAAGTCTGGAATGGGATATCCCTTGAAGATAACCAAACCCTCTGACCTGGCAGGTACCTTGGTGCCGGGGTCCGATGCCGGTCTGCAATGCGCTGGTTGCGTTCCGCTGATCGTAGCAAAGCCAAGCGTGCCTCCTTCCACACCCTGCGACAACGGCGACGATGGGCCTGGACTGAGGGTACTGCAACCTCCTCCTCGTGGACTGGGAACAGAGGTGGCTGATACCCTAAGGAACATTTAAACGGCGATAACCCTGTAGCAGCACTTGACAAAGAGTTATGGGCATATTCTACCCAGGGAAGATGCTCACACCAGG